GAAAATGGCGTGACAGAAATTAAACGTTGTTTCGCCGTGTGAGTGAAGTTATCGGAGACTAAATCCCCTAAAGATCGACAACGCACTTGTATCTCCTTATGTTAAGGATGTCCATGTGCGACGCGAACTGCTCAAAAACTATCGATAGATATTTTAAACATACTTTCGATATTGGAAAAGAAGAGAGAGAGAAAGAAGTGAGAGAGAATATCAGAAGAGACTCGACTCAAATACTAGTATAGTGCGAACTAGACATAAGTATCAATTACTAAGAATTGGGATGATGACAGGGTATGAAAATTAAAAATATAATTAGTCCGTAAGTTAGGTAATGAAAAAATGTTAGACACGTATTCTTTTTATTTTGTCGTATAATAAAATAAAACGCATCAAAATTTACGAGTGGGGGCTAAAACGTCATTTCTACGTATAAAATGTACATAGAAGTGACGTCACGCGACATTTCAAATCAATATATCGTCGAAAGTATTCGTTTTTGTTAGAAAATAAAAAATTCGTGTGTAAATAATCTACCAGACGGACATTAAAAAAAAAATTAAGCATCAACCCTATTACACACAAACATAAACACAGTCCCATAAGGCTAGACAGACACCACAAAGCGTCTCCTACGATGCTTATATTTCTATGGCTTCCCCATGGCTTCTACTCATACATGTATTGAATGAAACACACTTAAAAGAACTAAGTATACATATCTAAGTGCTTAAAATCCTTTTATTTTATCCCTTAAAGATATTGAACGTAACGTAATGTCATTTTATAAAAATACTAGCGACCCCCCCCCCGGCTTCGCACGGGTCCCATATGCATGTATTATACATATAAACCTTCCTTGAGAATCACTCTATCTATTAAAAAAACCAGCATCAAACATACATAGGGACAATAGAAATTGGTGTACAATAAAGATTATTATTATTATAGGGATAGACAGACGGCGGATAGCGACTTTGTTTTATACTATGTAGTGAAGGTGAGAGTAAAGCTTCTGTACTCATTAGATGGCATCAGCGTTAATATAGCATAAGGTCCTGTTTGTCCTATAGAGAATTTCATACTGTCAAGCCACAGGACAGTGAATTTTTGACAGCTACAGTGATCAGGCAAATACAACCCCATGCACGCTATCTTAGCACCATGCATCAGGTAAGTACAAAAATGCAAGTTCTCACTGCCATACACTAAAAGCCACGCGCATTAATGCATAATTAAGTATCAGGGTTAGAACTAAAAGAAGTAATTAGTACAGTCAATATAAAAAATAAACTGCATAATGATCTTAAACAAAATAATTTGACCAGAGAATTGAGCCGTGGAACCTCAGCTGTCGCTAGACGACTGGACTAATTATAAAATGAAGATAAAAGTTTATATTGTAGTTCTAAATAGATTAATATTTTATCTACAGTGATAAATCGTCTGCAATATTTATCTATTGAATTAAAAAAATACTAGTTAAGCATTAACAAATAAGTTGTTGTAGAAGCTGATCAAGCGACTACACTTTTGATAAAGACCAGGTAGCAACACTTGTTTATAAACTTGGATCTGCCTTCTAGGTGTTGAGATGATAACAAACCCTTTTATGTAATGAAGGCCCATAGTCCACAGTCAAAGGCTCTTATAATGTTTACTAAATAAACTATAGCAAAACTTGCTCACTAGATGGCACTAATGTGCCACTCTCGTTTATGTCCAATAAGGAAAGATGTGACACTAGCTGACTAGTGTCACACCGTTAGACGTTAATATTTGACAGCTGCTTTAATTGGACAAAAATACCCCTTCCCACATTTCCGCCACCTGGTTCAACAACTAAGAATTTGGAAATAAACAGACTAACAAAATTATTTACCTCATCATCATCATCATCATCAACAGCATATAAATGGCCACTGCTGACCAAAAGCCTCTTCTGGCATGGAGTAGGTATTTTTACTTACTTAATTTGATATAATTAAACTGTCAAACACCGAGCGGTCACCGGTGACCGCAACCTATTGTTCTTTGTGTCTATAATGACGGTACTCAATGAGTTAAATAAATTGGTTTAGCAAATAAAACCAAATGCAGATATGTTATTATTACTCTCAACAATGAGGAAGTCTAATAATGATCTTGAAATGATAAGACAATACAATAAAATATTGATAAAAAGCAATAAAATTTTAATGTAATAAAATTACTTTACTGCTGTCATTTTACAAAATATTTTATAACAGTCAGTGTGACTAGTAAATGGATTAACTACCGAATCCCCCAAGCGATCACCGGTGACCGCTCTCCAATTACTCCATTATAGACCTTATTGCCGATGTTAAGAGACTACTTATGGTATGAACAAATGTTGTGGATTTTTCATAATCATGGATTAAGAAGGTAATCAATAGCAGAAACTATGCATATGGAAAGTAAAGAATAAATTACCTATATCTCCGGAACAACTAGTTCAAATTGAATATTTTGTTGGTAGTCCTTTTATCGAGTAAGGCTATAGAGTATGGGCTATAAAAAGTCATGATACGCTTAATAGGAGCCGAGCAGAGCGAGTGCAACAGCACAGGAGTACCTAGTTATTAAATAAAAAATTTTTCACCGCCTATAACATGATTATTATTGACACATTTAAAGATTAAGCACATAATAATAACATGGATCAGAAACAATAAAATATCACATCATACAGAAAATGCAATTGAATCAATTTTGCATAGCTAATCTTTACAATTATTACAAACGCAGTGACTATTTATTTGTCACACTTAAACTTCGAAACTATTGAATTAATTTTAATGAGGTTTAGTATAGTATGGTATGCAGGTGTATAAAAGATAAATTTGAATGAGAGATATAAGGAGTAAAAAGGGGGATTTGTTATATATGTAGATGTAGATACATATTCGATAGGGAAGAATGAACAAGGAAGCCTGAGCCGAAGCTCATGGAATAGGAGTAGAAAGGAGATGATGATGATTATAATTAATAATAGAGATAAAACCTTAATGATATCAGCTGCAATTTGTTTAGAAGTGGTGACGGCACGGTGAATACGTATTTTGTCAAAGCATTTATTTCAATTACTCCTTAATTAGGAACTTTTGAAATGTCAAACTTGAATTGTCCATCAGTCTGGCTGTCAGTGAAGCTAGGTGTTTGCTCCAAAGTGTAGTTTGAAATGGTGAACAAGGAAAGAGCTCTTGATCCCTAACCTTCCCTATACATGTCATAAGAGCCGATTAAGATATGACACTTAACAGAGCTTACTTAGCACTCTGACCAGCATAAACCTTAAAATAGCGATCACCAACTGGTGTGCTAAGTATGGAGATTATGACCGGACCGGTCATAATCTCCATTCTTAGCACACCAGTTACCACCAGTCTTACGTAGACACCAGTAGCTCAGCTTTGTCAGTGCTCAATTTTTCTTTTTTAAGGAGGAAAAATCATCGAATAACTGCTCCGCCTCAGTGTCAGACTCTTACTGATTAAAAACCAACACGATCCTTCTCCTGCATGAGCCGGAGCCCCGGTAACCCGTTAGGAGGATAACAGGCTAACTATGGTATTGACATTTTTGTATGTTTTAAAATAAAACTAAAGTAACAAGAATATTGACTATCATCAATCAGATATGTAAGATAAACTAATATAGCATGTATAACGTGTACTACACTGACAGTGTTACTGATAAAACTAGTACAAATAAAAAGCCCTACCCATATTTTAATGGTTATAGTTAAAATATCGGTTTAACTACAATTAAGTAATACTGCCTTCTAGGTAGTGGTTGTCAGTGGAACTTCTGAGCAAGCAATTAATTCCCAGATCCATTAAGACTTATGCCGAACCCAGTAGGGAGAATGTTCCCAATGCTGTGGGCAACTATAAGGATTATCAGGGCTCTATGCAAAAGTAGGGACGGGGTGGGTTTTAGTCAGTAATACAAGGAAATGTATCATAGAAAATTATTCACCCTTTAATATTCAAAGGGCTAGACAGTGGTGAACATAAATAAGCAAAATATCATTTATGCTTCGTTACTTATGTGTCATGTTATAGGAATATTGTCAGACACATTGAAAGCCTGAAAATCTCAGCAATACTTCAGCCAACTCTGGTATTAAATCTGAGATCATTTGGCAGTTGCAACAATACAACCAGGTACCTAATAAAGCGGTTGAAAAAGAGGTAGACAATTGGTCATTCATGATAAGACTGGCATGAGATTTTTACTAGATGTCACAATGTTAAGAGACCGAAATTAAAATAGAATTAGTCAGTATATGATGTACTGATTATATTGTTTATACACTCTTCTTTTTACTTTTTTCAGAATAAAGATTAAAAGAGATAGTGTTATCGTGATATCTCTTTCTTACAGCGAAGTAAAGGAATGCTTAGTCTAACCTCCAAGATGAAAATATTTCAGCATATTTTATGTCATACTTTATTCTATTTTTTCTATGAAGAAAAATATAAAGTATCATAAAGTTGACAATGATGGTGCAATAATATGTAACGGTGTGAAAAAATTGCACCAAAACATTTTCAAGGCTTCCCAATGACCTTTTTAAGAACATAATGTTAGGTAGATAGTTTGGGGTCATTGAAAGAGCACAGAAACATGATAGAGCAAGAATTTGTAGGTTAAGTTTCTGTAAATTAAGTTTATCATGAACAAAATCAGATTTACACACAAGTGTTAAAGAGTAGATTGTGTAATCAAAAACTCATGTTCAATCTTCCTTAAAAATCCTGATTTGAATTAAAAAAAATACCATTGCACACAGTATGCAGTCATAATTCCAAACCCTGAAAAAGTAACAAAAAGCAAAGACCAACGCACATAAGTCCAAGAAGAAAAAGTATGCACATAACATGTATAAACATTTTCTTTCTTTCATTTCATGATTCAAGTGTTAGAATTGCATCATTAATGTTATGACATGGTTTTGTTTACATAATACCACTCACCTGCCAAGGGTTCACTTTAGGAATAGGGGCTTCAACAAACTTCTTCGGTTGACTTTCTGAAGATTGTTGCTGCTGCTCTGGCGTCGGCTGAGGCTCAGCGTGCTGAGCGGGCGCCTTATGAGGACGGGGTGGAGCCCTACGCTCAGGGTGCCTTCGCCCCTTCCCAGGACGGCGTCCGTGCGATATGACGGGCACAAAACCCTCTTCCTCTTCATCATCCTGCTTCGTCGGGGGCGCGTCAGACACTTCACCTGGTGCGGCCTCAATGTTTTCCTTGTTACTATCACTGCCCCTAAAGTTCAACACTGACGCGTAAGAGGGCCCTGCGCCCTCGGCGGACACGCGGGCGGCCATGCCGCCGCTGCCCTCGTTATGTAAGTCCGGGCGCGCGCTCCGCGCCAACAGACGATCACGAGCGCGCCTCCATGCCCCTCAACACGACGGCATGATGGGGTTAACCCACTAATCACGAACGAACTTTCCCGATGAAAACTGGCCGATCGAACAGTGCGAAGGTCGAATAATTCACGATTAACTCACACGTCCCAGTGGCGCGCACACACGGCCGGTTGCTGAGAAATATGCGCGAACCTCTCGTAGCACACCGGACTGACCCTGGTTGGGCCGTATTTACATCGAAAAAATGCACTTCCGTCGTCTTGTTCCAACTTTTCTGGCACACTGAACGATCCGTACGCACTTTATCTATCGATGTCTTGTACCGATCACTATGAAATACGCTTCTATTATCATAAAATCATAACAGAACCATATTTTGTTCACTATTCACACATGTGGTCGGCCGCCCAAAAAGGGATTTTTCCGCAACACACACGGAACTTACGGAAGGCTGTGACTTCTAATTTTACACAGGACATTTTGACGCTAGAGGGCGCTGAAACATCACTGACAGTGAGCACATTCGTAATTAACAAAATATAAATTAATTTTTTGGAGGAATTATTGTGTTTTCTGCTTGATAATTACTATCATGTATTAAAACGTAAAATTTCACGTTTTTACAAGTATGATTGATTGGGTTTTTAATTCAATCGATCAACGAAAAGTAACTCATATGCAAGTTAAATTATGAACGCAGCGTAATAAAAAATCACATTTCGGATCTTTGCAAAATGCTTGCAAATCTCCATGGTTTTGTGGACCACCGAAAATTATTTTTATAGTAATAAAAAAGTACGCGAAAATTAATTAGTAAACTATGTTATTCATTTTAATTCATAAAATATAAAATATATACAGCAAATAAAACAGATCACCATTCAAATATTTATTGTCTATGCTTTCCTTCATCATTTGATTTCGTTTTGAAATCGATTACAAATCGATCTTGAAAAATAAAGTTATAAAAAATTACACATATTTAATAAAAACAAAACACTGAGTAAAACATGATTAAGCAATGATAATAAAAAATATGGTACAAATTATTTGTTACAATACATTTTAGTTTACTGGTACACGCTTTCCGGATTTGTTGGACAATACATTCCTAAAAAACTTCTACAATTTCTACAATAATGATAAACATCTTTACATGACTTCAAAATGTAGGGCAAGGGAGCACAAATCCAACAGCATAGCAAGCATAAAAGAAATGCACATAAATGCGTGCATATAGTAATTCGGCTAGTAACAACTGTCATACCGGTGTAACCACATTCAGGGCATACCATTGGCATTGAAGTATACCCGAAGGTATAGACCCTCGATGGAGGCGGGGGAAGAGCAGGTTCTATGTATACATCAAACGCCGTGGTATAAGTAGGAGGAGGAGTATGTAGAACGAACGAAGGAGATGGGAAAAAGGTTCCCATGAACCGCGGCCGCCTCCGAACGGCCATTTGCCTCAACACAAACGAATAGGACGGCGGTGCACTCGTCAAAGAATCCGGTGGAGTTATATCTCCCGAATTTAAATCGAGATTTAAAACTTTACTCCCATTTGCAGTGGGTTGAAGAAGCCTTAAATTACTTAAAACAGACAGAGTCAACGAGCTTTCTTTAAGTTTTGACAGTGCTTGTAAAAATAAAGTTTGTGGTTGAGTGGAAACCGTAACCGAAGCTGGTAGCGGTAACTGAGACAAATGGGGCTGCGTTGTAATCGGACTTTGAGCTGGCGAACGAATTATTAGAGGTCCGTAGGAACTTAAATACGAATTATTTCTACTGTACGAAAGGGTAGTTGATGCAACTTTTGCGACGCATGAAGGAATGCCTGATTCCATGGTTACAGGTGATCTGCGCCCTGAACTACTTCCTAACGTTGTTATAACTTGATGACCGCTCGCTACAGTTTGGTATTTCGGTAAACTCGGTTGATCTTGTATTACAAGCGATTCCCCTGTCGGTGCTGGCATAGATATTATTTTATCTGTCTGTGTTTTCGGTAAATGAGATTCCTCGTCTGATGTTCCAATTTGAGATCTCCTTTGTTGATCTAATAATACAGTTGGTTGCTCTTTCATTAAGATGTTCGAAGGTATTTCGTTCATTAAACATATTGTTTGGTCATTCGTTAAGATAGTGACATTTTGAAGTAGTGCATTTGTTGGGGCTTCTGAAGTTGTTGGTTCTTCGTCTGGTATACTTTTTTCTGATTTCTTCGGCTTTATATCGCGACTGCATTCTGGTTTCTCGTCCATTTGAACTGAGCAACAGAAATGAGAACGTTAGACTTTCTATTTTGTTGTCATCTTTAACACAACAAAGGCTGCAAAAGTTAGGGCAAGTAGAACTAGATAAGATTCTAGTAAAAGTTCAACCTTTTGAAAAAGAGGGAAAAAAATGATAAATTTCTGGTGATCTTATGTAGAAAGGTTGAATTTAATACATGTAAACTACACTTTTAAATTCCATCGGACATAAACAAAGAATATACTAATTTATAATATTTTTACCTGTTATAAGGAAGTTTGATTTTTGTAAATAATTATTTATTTATTTATTTAGTGCATGAATTCACAAGTCTGTGCAAATTTATTTTAAAGTTTTGGAGCTCTTTACCGCTACGACCTTAAATATAAATTCCGATAAATTACAAAAGAAGTTTTGTTTTATTTATAAATAATTTCTGTTAATCATTTGTATTATTAATATTTGTAAATATTGTTAGATTGTGGTGGTGTCATCAAAAATGTCATTTAATTATTCCATGTCATATATAGGATAGTCGATTAATTAGATTTGGTAAGTGGTGAGAAAAAAGTACTGTGTTTTGTTTTATAATATTGAAGGTTTTTTCAGAATTACACAAAATTAAATATGTAAAATATGTCAATTTTATTCAGCTCAAGCTTATTTAGTAATATTATTAAAAAAATTGTAACCATAAATTATTTTCTAAGCTGTGTCTTAATTTTTTGAGCTGGTAAAAAAATTTTCATAATAAAAAAAAACCATTCTAGTTTCCGGTCTTTTTACTCCTCCAAAAAAAGGCGGATGGTAAAAAAAAACGCCTATAGTGTTTATTGGAGGAATTTCTTCAAAAAAATAGCGAAATGAAAAAAAAAATACAAACAAATGTGATAATAAAATGTTATTAAAAAAAAAGTGAAACAAAAAAAAAAAGTGAAAGTGTGTTCTGATACGTAATTGTTGCCATGGCCCAAACACGTGTTTGCGTATGCTTTTCGATAAATAGCAGGAATGTGATGGTGTACTGTAAGTTACTTTAATAATTCAGCCTTCAAAGGGCAGGAACAACTCATTTATAGGCATTTTTTTATTTTAAAAAAAAACTATAATGAAAAATGTTGTCTAAGTCCGCATCACGCTATGAATGCATCCCTTGTTTATTTTTGCATGAAACATCTAAAAATTGTTTCCATTCCATTCTGTACTGCATCTCCAACATGCTTTTACCTTGTATTGCACCATAAAACGTAAGGTTTTTAACATTTTCATGTTTCGATAATGCGTGATACTTTTGAGGTTATGATCATTCCTAAGCGAATGGTATGCCGGAAACCTTGTCATTTTTGTGGAAAAAGCAACCTCAAAATACATCAACATGGCTGTATAACCTGTTTAAAATACTCGATAAGTGCTTCTAAGATATTAAAACACGTACAATTACGTCAAACTATTTGGTCACTTTCCTTTTTTCTCCATGAAGGTTGAACTCCCCTATACTCTTCCTGGTTGCACTATATAGTCTTCCAGGTACAATTTTAAGGGGTATAGCATTAAAGCTCCCGTAGGAAACATGACAGATGTTATATTTGTTGTGTGTCGACTTGTGGAGTACACTATTTTATTATTATTCATTTTAGTTATCGAAGGCGACTCATGTTTAGTAGTGTATGTCTAGAGACGATGTTTTTTTTTTTTGAAATCTCATTTGAGGCCTTACAATGCGCCTCTATAACCAGTATCTTACCTATACCATGCTCTCTTGACACACTTGAACAATGTTCTTTGTTATAGTCTTTTGTCCAAAATGTCTCACAGTCTAGTTACACAGAACAAATTGGTCTTTGTATGTTGTTATTAGGAGTATCTACTATAATATTAAATGTATTTTGCAAAGGTAGCCTTATAAATTGTAAACCATCATCGCTTACCACCAGGCGAGATGGGTGGCCTAATGTCAACCTATAAAGTATAAAATAAAAGGCTAATAGATTGCAATTCATTTTTATATATAAGGTTGCACTGTTTCTACAAAAAATTAGAAGTAGATGCTAATAAGGTAGCTAGACTATATACTATTCATTTGTTAGTCATATAGCTTAAAATAAAAATATAAAACCTTATGTACCCTAAATTTGCTCTTACAAAAGTAGTCTCTAAACATTGGAAATAAGGTCTGTAATGTTGTTAGTGGAGAGTGGTCACCGGTGTCCGCTTTGGGATTAAAGGACTCGTATTCTAAATCAGTCCATTGAACCATTTTCCAACATCTGTAAGATTTCGACTACTGGACAAAGGTTCAGTCCTCCACACTGCACGACAATCAGAAAACACTGTACATAAGGTACATAAGATATATTTTAATATGTCAAAATAATTCTAACTATAATCCCATTATATTCCAGAGTCTATCAATTGCCCGACCGCTCGTGTCGGTTTACACGGAGAAGAGCGAGGTCGTCCCCGACGCCTCCCTCCCCCTCCCGTTCGTGTTCAAGGCCCCCATCAGGCCGGACCTGGTCAACGATGTCCATGTGTCCATGTCCAAAAATGCCAGACAACCTTACTCCGTGAGCAAGGAGGCCGGTGAGTTTTTGAAAATGATTATTCAGTTTTTTTTTAGTGTATTTGAATAATAATACCGTCTGTGGCATTGGTCGAGTGGTTTCAAGCATGATTGCCAAGCAAAGGTTCTCGGGTCGAGAAAAGTCTTATTGCATAGTTTTCGGATGTTTGACAATCTGTCAACATGGCATTAGGCTCACTTACTATTACATGGAACAATATGGGTGGGGTGAAAAGCGGATGTTACATTGTATATCTGGCATTATGAGCCATAATGTACACATCTGCCTATGCGTTTGGATAGATAAGCGATAAAAGTACAGAGTGCAAACTTAGACAGATTTAAGTCAGTTCGATTACAGTGACAGCAAGCTGATTTTTAAATATCTATTTTTTTTTTTTTGTTTATTTTCAAAAATAAAGGAATGTTTTCTTTGAGTAAAATTTTCTATCTTAAACTGTCAAACACCAAGTGGTCACCGCAACCTATTGTTCTTTAATTGTGTCTCCAAAGACGATACTCAACAAGTTAAGTATTAACGAGTACTTCCCCATCAGGTGGCATTACAAAATTCCACCCTGTATATTTATTTGGCTGAGTCATTACTGAAAGTTGCAAATCTGTGCAAACCCAATTGAAAAAGAGTAACCTATGGAGTTACTTGGTCGTTCTTCTCCATAGGAATCTACATCTTGAAATGAGCAGCTAGCTTCACTTCTAAATTTTTTTGTTGTTGAATTTCAAAAGCGCCTTCCTGGTCTGATTGAAATTTAATTGATTTTGACTTTGATTTTGTCTGCTAAGTTAGAATTTTGGGGTTAAATTTCTTGCCAAGTTAATGTTTTTGAACTATTTTATTAATTATAGTTATAATATTGCACATAAGTCCACACTCTCAGTGTGTATTGCTGCGGAGTGTTACTGCGATATCGTGCAACATCAATGTGAGGACAAGGCGTTCCGGACCCACTCCATAGAGGGGACGGGTGCATAGTTTTTACTACATAATAATATACTATTTTATTATTATATATAACAATTATTATTGTGGATGAAACAAATCAGTTTAACCATTCTTGACCGAATTCAATTCTCGTGTCGTAATTACTAACTCTTGAGATGAATGAGACACAATTCTAGTATGACATAAAATTACGTTCTTGTAAATTATGCACTTAATGCCACTGTACAATGTAACACCCACTTTTCACTATTTATGTTATGAGCCCTATGTAATAGGGGTGAGTCTATTGCCCTCGCCCGATACTGGCACTTGCGACCACTCTGCCTACGAGGCAGATTATGTTATTTATTCTTAATAAATTATTTTGCGATACTTCGTCATTGTACTCTCAGTACCATGCGCGATATAAGGTCAAGGTCATCGACAATTTTCTATACGTTTAAAAAACATTGCGCAATGCACTATTGCTAGGTTTTTCTCCTGTGTCGTGTGTGATACGCATTGCAGACCAGAGCAGACCAGACCTGGAACAATAATCTTCTGTCATTATCAACCTTGACACACGATTTAAACTGTCAAACACCAAGCGGTCACCGGTGACCGCAACCTATTGTTCTATAATTGTGTCTACAAAACCGGTACTCGACGAGTTAAAGGTCAAGGTCACTGCGTTCTCTACTCTACTATGATCTATATTTTTTTATACAGGTCACCAGACCAGTGCCGAGTCATGGGGTACCGGTCGTGCCGTCGCCCGTATCCCACGTGTGCGTGGTGGTGGTACCCACAGGTGAGAATCATCATTTAATTAATTTCTCTTAAACTGTCAAACACCGCGAGGACACCGGTGACCGCAACCTATTGTTCTATAATTGTGTCTATAACGACGGTACTCGACGAGTTAACCGACTTCAAATAGAATAAAAAGGAGGTTCTCAGTTGGACGTGTATGTGTATGTATGTGCGCAACGAGGTCGCGATTTGCTGAACGGATTTTGATGCTGTTTTGCCGGTTATGGTGTGTTCGTTAGCAGAAGGGTCGGCAAATAATATGCGTGTTCTTGGTTCGAGGTTTATTGAACGACTGACAATAGAGTATAGTAATATGCGACTCACTGACTCCAGTGAACTTAAACAGTAACTTAACCTAATGTGCCTAAGACTAACTTTGACTATTGTGCCTACAAGCTACACTGTTTTCTGTAGTGTTTGATTTTATTATTATTAACCGTATATCCTGTTGAAATATCGTGCTCTAAATTTGTACATACAAAATCAATCTCTAAACTTCGGAAATAAGGACTATAACGGAGTTAGTGGAGGATGGTCACCAGTGACCGCTTGAGAACTGAGTAGTATGTCAATATTTTTTTCATATTTTTGTAATATAATGTAATTTCATTTCATTTAATTCAATTGCTGTATGTTTATATCCGCATGATGTGAATCCCTTTGATTGAAGTATCACAAGGTTACTGTAATTGGGATGATGACAGGGTATAAAAATTAAAAATCTATTTCTTTCTTTTTTTTTTATTTAAAAACGTTGCCCCACACTAGGATTTTCTCCTGTGTCGTGGGTGCGTTTACAAACATACAAGTTCACA